CAGGTTCTTCGCCAGAGAGAAGCGGCCGTACGGGCTGGGCATGGTGGGCCGGCTCACCAACCGCACCTACCGCAAGCGCATCGACAGCTACGTCAAGCGCCAGATCGAGGACATGGATGACCACAGGTGGGGCCGGGGGATGGGACTGAGGGCCGGCAAGGCTCCGGGGTGGGGCTGGGGGCCCCAGGTTGGAGCCACCGCCTCTGCTGATGCTTCTGCCGCAGGCCCTTCTTCACCTACTGGCTCACCTTCGTGCACTCGCTCGTCACCATCCTCGCCGTCTGCATCTACGGCATCGCACCCGTGGGCTTCTCGCAGCACGAGACGGTGGACTCGGTGAGCCCCGCGCGCTACCTGGGCCGAGACCAGTGAAGTCTGGGCTCTGGGAGGAAAGGGCCGGAGGGGGCGGCCTTTGACCTCTCGCCCCAACTTCCCAGGTGCTGCGGAACCGAGGGGTCTATGAGAATGTCAAGTATGTGCAGCAGGAGAACTTCTGGATCGCGGGCGGGGGCTGGGCCTCAGCTGCGCATCCCGCTCCCCGCAGGAGGCCCTCATTCACCTGGGCGCCAAGTTCTCGCCCTGCATGCGCCAGGACCCGCAGGTGCATAGTTTCATCCACAAGGCGCGGGAGCGGGAGAAGCACTCGGCCTGCTGCGTGCGCAATGACCGGTCGGGCTGCGTGCAGACCTCGGAGGAGGAGTGCTCGGTGCGTGCCCCTGCCCGCTGCCAGCCCTTGTCTGCGCCCCTGGGATGGGGTTATGCTGTGACTTCAGATGGAGCCGGGTGTCCCTTATCCTAGGTCTTGGCACATGGCACCACCCTCTGTGCCAGGTCCCTCACGTCACATTCATCACTTTTCATCCCCAATTCCTCCTCCTCATCCTGTAGACCCGTGGTCGGCAAACTGCGTCTCGAGAGCCACATGCGGCTCTTTAGCCCCTTGAGTGTGGCTCTTCCTAAGCCTTAGGGGTACCCTAATTAAGTTAATAACAATGTACCTACCTATGTAGTTTAAAAAATTTGGCTCTCAAAAGAAATTTCAATCATTGTACTGTTGATATTTGGCTCTGTTGACTAATGAGTTTGCTGACCACTGCCGTAGACAACCACTGTGAGGTCTTTGATTTGGGTGTGCTTTCTGTGTGTCTTGTTTTGGGGCATGTCTTAAGTTTCCCTAAGCGGTATTGCCTTATTTTTTCCACTAAACAATTACAAAAAAAGAGATTCAGTCAAGTTTTTATTACATCATTTTATGAGGAGGTACCGAAGTGTATGCCAGTTTTGGACACTGGTTGTTTTTAGTTTTACACGAATAGGAATTATGCTCTTGAGCTGACAGTAGACACTCCCACGCGCACACACATTTTCGGAGTGTGCATTTGTAGATTTTGGGTTGTGGGCTCGGGGATCTCAGTGGTTTGGCTTTTGCCTCCTGCCTTCTGGAAGCTGTGTTGCGGGACGGGTGGGCTCTGACCGGACTGACACTCTTCCCACAGTCCACGCTGGCAGTGTGGGTGAAGTGGCCTTCCCATCCCAGCGCCCCCGACCTCGCCGGCCACAAGAGGCAGTTTGGTTCTGTCTGTCACCAGGACCCCAGGTCAGTCCTGCTGGCCCCGCTCTTGC